CCTAGCGGGGTGTGTGTTCATAGGCTCCAGCTGCTGAGAATGCACCCCCTCTTCTTCTTCTTCCCATCTCCTTCCTCCAGGGAAATCAAGCATCTCCTCTTTTCTCAGGGTGAAAGTTACTTTCTGGATGCTGCAACAGACGCAGAATGAAAGACACTGGAGGCCCCCATGCGTCACCACATGCATCCCAAAGGTGCCTCCCAAAGCATCAATATGCTCTGCTCGCTTGCTCCCTCCATGGACTTGAGAGCGCTTTGCACAGATCCTGTTCAGCAGTGAAATCCATTTATTTTATTTTTAAATAGCACAGACAGATGGGTACAGACGTGCACAGTGGTGCAGGCTGTGCAGGAACAGAGTTTGCTTCTTGACAAGAGTCAGTCAGTCTCTCTCTCTCTCCTGAAAGCCCAAACCCAGCCTTATATGCATATTCATAAGCACCTGATAAATTAATCATGATGTCAGTAACACTCAGGCTGCAAGGGAGGTGACAGGCAAATTTTGCCCTCTCCCCAGCATCTTCCCCTCATATTGGCTTACCGCTTTCTTGATTTTTGTTCCTGGTTTCCAAACACTGCTCTCAGGCCTCTGTCTCAACGAACAGTGATTGAATTAGCTAGATTAAATGGACTCATCCTTGGAAATTAAAAAAAATATGGGGGGGTGTAATTTGTTTGGGAGCACAAGGTCAACGTCTGCTTTCAGCCCCCCCCCCCAAGCTACAAGGATTTGCAAATTATTAACAGTAGGAACAGACTTCTGAGCATGCAAAGAGTGTGTTTTCACCCTCCTGGATACACATAGGATGAAGGCATGGGGTTTTCATGGCCGATGGCATGATGGGCTGCTCAGCTGATTCCACTGTAGCTAGTAATTCCTGATAGCTACATCTAATGATTAAGGCTGTTCCATGTGGTCTAGAAAGGTGACCTTTGGCACCCGATTACTTTGATTGCTTTAAAAGGATTGCAAAGAAATTGACTGTTTTTTCCACCCTTGCCTTAAAACAGAAGACTAAGAAGTGGCTTAGATGTCTTCCACGCAACCTGGAAAGCAGAAATATAGTAGCCCATGACACCCAGATGAATTAGCAAGGGTCCTTCTGTAGGCAAAGTATCAGCTACAGCCCTTCCCCTAAAAAAAAAAAAAGGTTCTAGTCATCATTATTCAGGAGGGAAGCTGTCCTACTTAGGGTTAGAGATGATTGGTCCTTTTAGTTCAGTACTGTCTATACTGATTCGCAGCAGCTCTCCAGGCTCTCAGGAAGGGAACATCCCCATACCTACCTGGATATGCCACTGGGGATTGAACCTGGATACTGAGCTATTGTAGAGGTTCTGTTGCCTGTCCATGCTCTTAAGCCAGCCTTGAGGAGGGCAGAAGCCAGGTGGCATCTAAGAGTGTGGGTTCATAAATACGGCATCATGCTTTATTTTACTAGGAAAATAGTACTTTCTGTTTTTAAAAATCCCATATGCATTAGTTCCTCCCTGTAGTTTGACTAGGAAATAAATCCCTACTTTTTGGGGTCTTCTTGTTTTGAACAGTTCATTAAAAAAAACAAAACCAGTTAGCTCCTTAAAGCCAAAGCAATGACCAGTACCACAAACAGTGGAAAATGCAATTTGGCTTTGACTCATTTGCAGCTGAAAAGGTCAAGGTTTTGCACAGAAGAAAGCTCCATTTAGGTAAATAGGATTTACTCCTGAGTAAGCAGACCTAAGATTGCAACCTTCAGAGAGTTTCTTCCCTGATAGCCTCCTGATAGCGATGACTGATGAAACCAACTTGGAACTCTTGATTGAAGGGCTTGAAAAAGTAAACAATTCTTCCAAAAGTCTTCTAAATGTTTTGCAACGCACTCCTTTGGATCAAATTCCTGTTGAAATTTCAGTTTTAATTACGGTATATCAACCCCAGAGGAATGTTAAAAAGACTATGCAACTGTTGCATACAGTTTTATCTAGAGCTGTTACATTTAGTAGTTTAATTGCTTCAAAACATAGTAACATAAGAAGAGCCCTGCTAGGTCAGGCTAATGGTCCACGTAGCCCAACATCCTCTTCTCAGTGGCCACCCAGATGCCTCAACAGGAAGGTCCAAAAACAGGATTTGAGAACACTCCCCACTTGTGATTTGCAGAAACTGGTATTCCGATACATTACTGCCTCCAACAGCAGAGGCAGACTATGAATGAGGTCAGTGGCACATCTAGTCCAGAATCCTGTCCCCACAGTGGCCAAGCACAACAGTACTCTCCCCTCCTAAGGTTTCCAGTAGCTGGTATTCAGAAGCATCGCTGCCACCCACAATGGAGCATAGCAGCAGGCAGAAAAGAGCCAGTTTGGTACAGTGGTTAGAGCAGCCTTTCTCAACCTTGGGTCCCCAGGTGATGTTGGACTACAATTCTCATCATC